CCCACAGCCAGGAATAAAGGGATACTGAGTAGTTCTGCTCACTATTACCCCTAGTAATCCACTAGGAAAATGTTTGCTTCCTGTTCCCACAAGTTGAAGTTCTGCTGGCCTAGAAGTTTTGGTTCCAGAGGGGTAGCGCTCCAGCCAGGAGCCATAATAAACAGTCCATTGACCTGGAAGCTCAGACTTCCCCTGGCCACTTTGTCATCTGATGCATTTAAGCCAACAGGCTAAGAAAGAAGTAATTATTAGGAGGGATGACGGATCCAGATTACCACAAGGAAATTGGATTGCTTCTCCACAATGGAGGTAAGAAAGGTTATGTGTTGAGTGATCCTTTAGGGAAGTGGTTCTCAACCTTCCTGATGCTGTGACCCTTTAATACAGTTCCACATGTTGTAATGAACGCCAATCATAAAATTATTTTTGTTACTACTTCATAACTGTAATTTTGCTATTGTGAATCATAATGTAAATATCTGGTATGTGGGATAACTGATAGGCAACCCCTGTTAAAAAGGTCTTTGACTCCCAAAGGGGTAACGATCCACAGGTTGAGAACCACTGCTTTAGGGTGTCTCTTGGTGCTGTCATGGCCTGTTACTAAAGCCATTGGAAAACTACAACAGCCCAGTCCGTGCAGGGTGACAAAGGGCACAGACCCTTCAGGAATGAAGGTGTGGGCCACTCCTACGTGGAGCCAAGGCCGCTGAGGTGCTTGCTGAGAGTGGAGGCAGAGGAAGGCAGTGGTAAGTACCAGCTGAGGCCATGTGACCATCGAAGAAATGAATATTAAAACTGACAAGCTTGTTTCTGTTATATTTTCTTAAGAATGCATTTGTACAGATATTTGTTTTCTTTCCTTTCTTTTTATCATGTGATGTAACATAAATTAAAAGAGTATCAATGGTTACTATATTTAAGATGAGATACTAAAAGAATGTCTCTCAGGGGACATTGCCACCTATTCTAAATTTATAATGTGCTTGTGGTTGTATGGATAGTTATATCATGTTTAGGCAAATAACCTGGTTGTTTGCATTTAGAATTTAATTATTAATTCAGTTAATAGATTGAATCAATATGGTGGCACACATGTGTAATCCCAGCACTTATGAGATGAGGCAGGAGGATTATAAATTTGAGATCAGTCTGGCTTACATAGGAAGACCCTGCTTATGGGAAAAAAACAAAACAAAACAAAACTGATCTGCTGATTTATGGTGTCAATGTCAGCATTAAAAACAACACACAGGTTAAACAGCAAACTCATACCTGCAAAAGACTATTCCACAACATACTCCTCACTACAAATTAACAACATAGGTGCACAGGTGTCTTCCATTTGGGGTTTATTGTTGAGCTTGCATTAGATCACTGCTACTCTGGTTAGAGTATGAGCCACAGAAAACCATTGGGTGGCACAGCCCTAAAGGCCTTACAGGACAAAACCCAAAGCTGTTCGAGCACCAGAAATACACAAATTTAGATCACTGAGACTGAAACCTGTTAGTGTGCTGACCTTGGTGTCTACACCCATGTTGCTAGAGATGGTTTGCAACACAGCAGAACATGATGTCAGCCATATTCATTGTGATTAAATTCCAAGTTTCTGTTTCCACACTTTTTGTACACAGGAGAAATTCCAAAGAAGGCTTATCGTCAGTCTCATTGTTGCTCAACTCAGCAATGCAATCTTATTGTGTTGTCAGTCTGTGAAGTAGATCTAAAGGAAAAAAAAAAGAAGAAAATTCAGAGTTCTCACTGTTCCTACATTGCATGATGTTACAGGAATTTCCATTTTCAGTTAAGATTTCTCTGATTGTGAAACTGAGGTATTTCTCACTACTAGCTATTCACTCATCCTTTCTTCAACTTGCCTCTTTTTATACTCTCATTTTTTAATCTACAAATAATAGCTACGGAAGCATAACGTGTGTGTGTGTGTGTGTGTGTGTGTGTGTGCTGTGTGTGTGTTCTGTGTGTATGATGGGGGAAGTCCTGTGTATATGTCAATAAAGCACTCTTGGCCAATAGGGAAGCAAGATAGGTGGGACTAGGAGTCCAGGAGGATGCTGGGAAGGAGAAACACAGGGAGTCAAGATGTAACCGCCATAGGGATAAGAAGCCCGGAAACTTTGCTCCGGTAAGAGAAATACTTAGATTAACATTTACGGGATAAATACTTAAGTCAGAGCTAGCCAGTAAGAAACAAGCAAGGCCAACAGCTTCATAATTATTATAGCCTCCTGTGTGTTTATTTGGGACTGATGTGGCTCTGGAACCAGGCTGGCGGGAAGGTTTCTCTCAAGGAAAAGGCTTCCCTTTACGTGTGTGTGTGTGTGTGTGTGTGTGTGTGTGTCTGTCTGTCTGTCTGTCTGTCTGTCTGTCTGTAGTGCTGGTAATCAAACCTATGCATGCCAGGCAAGCATTCTACTACTGAACTACATCCCCAGCCCCTCAAAAGTTATTTGAACAACATTAAGAGCTGGGCATAGCTGGGCATGGTGGTACATATCTTTAAATCCAGCATTCAGGAGGAAACGGCAAGCAGATCTGCATGAGTTGGAGGCTGGTATTGTCTAAATAGGGAGTTCTAGGCCAGCCAGTGCAACATGGTGAGACTCTGTCTTAAAAAAAAAAAAAAAAGGCTGGGCATGGTGGCCCATGCCTATAATCCCAACACTTGAGAAGCTGAAACTGAACTGTCACAGGCTTGAGGTTAGCATGGGCTGCATGCTAATTTTTTGATAACTTGGCATATAGAGCAAGACACTATCTCACCCCTCACTCCCAAAATAACTGTTAAACCCCAAATCTGGCTGTTAGCTACTGCAGGTGAATCATGGCAACTGGAGAATATATATGCAGGACACACAGGAAAGATACTGCTGAACTTTTCCAAAACAAGGTGGAACAGTCCTTCAAAATTCCTGCTTCACAGAAAAGTCTGTCAGATATCCTAGGCCTGTAGGCTGAAGATGGATGCCTCAATGTTACAGTGGAACCTTGGGTGAATGTCTAGGGAGCCAGATGTCTGTCATTTCATAATTTTGGAAGCTGCTTGCTCTGCACTTCCTATTTACTTGGGTACTATTGTATCCTTCTGGGGTCTTTGATGGAATTGAAGACCAGATAGTTATAATTTTCCTTAGTTATAACAGAAGATAAATTATGTACAAAACTTTGGACTACTCAAGAGAGAATAGATATGAAGTACTTTCTCTAAACTTGCCAAATACAAATAGATTGGACATTGTAAATGTAATTCTTTGTTGTTGTTTTTTCAAGATGGTTTGAGTAACAGCCCTAGCTGTCCTGTAACTAGCTCTGTAGACCAGGCTGGCCTCAAACTCACAGAGATCTGCCCATGTCTTTGTCTCTCAAGTGCTGTGATTAAAAGTGTGTGCCACCACCACCTGGCATAAATGTAATTCTTACTTGATAATTATTCTTATTGTATATAGTTTCATTTACAATTAATACCTTTCCTTTCTATTTAGGCAATATCTGGTAATTGTTCATATTGTATATAATTTTACTATGTATATTAGAGTTAAAATGTTTCCTTAGACAAAAAAGTGGACATTTGTGGAATAGTCTCTTTGTACACTGTGAAGATGTGTCACTCTGATTGGTTTAAAAAAAGATGAATAGTCAATAGCTAGGCAGATTTTCAGTGCACAGAGGATACTAGGAAGAAAGGTGGAGTTGCCAGGAGATTTATAGGAGGCATGACATGTAGGAGATGAGGTAACAAGCTATGAGCCATGTGGCAGCATGTAAATAGAGATGGGTTTATTTAAGCTATGAGAGCCAGTTAGAAACAAGTCTAAGCTATTGGCCGAACTTTCATAATTTAAGTCTCTGTGTGGTTTTTTTGGGAGCTGGCAGGGCAGAGAAAGACTTGATTATATATATTGAATCTGAAATAGGATTTGAGGGTATGGGTACAACCCCAGGGTAGAACACATGTTTAGCATATATGAAGTCTTAGTTTAATCCCATACAACAGATTTATTAGTTAATATTCTGGAAGTTCACTTTTTTCATGGAGCAATCTGGAAGGCACAGTGATTTAGTGGAAAGTGTGGTGAGAAAAATACACACCACTTCAGAACAACTGGGGAAGAATCACAAATGTTCAGAATAAATGGACCTCTACCGAAGGGGCTTGAGTATGTGGCTGCTAACGTGCTTGACTGGCATGCCCAAAGCCCTGGTTTCATTCAGCACTGAATAAAACTGGGTGTGGCGGTACATGCTTGTAATCACAACACTCAGGAGGTGGATATAGGAGGACCAAGGGGCTCAAGGCCATCCTCCGATACAGAGTTTAACTTGTCTGCTTCAAACAGCAACAAAAATCAGAAATTCTATCTCTGTCAGCATATATTTCAAGATGTGGCCATAATTCTCATATACTTTGCACCCATTTTCTCTTGGTTAAAAATTGCCATGATTATTGAAGGCTCAAGGGCAACTTCCTTACCTTCATCATCTTCACTGTGAGATCACGAGTAAAGAACTTGACAGAATAACTTTTCCACATTACGTACAACAGGTTCTCCACTGCAAATCTTGTTTTTCAAAAGTCCACGGGAAGTAGGGCTTTCATATTTGTGACATATATGGCGCCAGGGTGAGCTCACATATTAGTGCACTTTGATGACATTCCATTGGCTCTCATGTTTCTTAAATTCATGGGCATCTTGAGAACAAGAGAGATTTCATGTCTTTCAAGTGAGCTGGTCTGCAGGCTAAGCCACATTTCTTACATTAATAAGACTTCTCACCAGTGTAAATTCCATTATGATTAAGACGTGGAGAATTCTTGAAGGACTTTCAACATTCCTTCCATTCAAAGGGTTTCTGTTCAGACTTACGTATTAAATGTTCAGTTAGCTGATAAAACTTACTGTAGTTTTTTTCCACATTCTTGATACTTAGAGGAAACCTCTATCATGAATTTGTGCATGGTGATAAAGGTTTGAGGATGTTGTGAAGGCTTTCCCACATTCCTTACATTTGTAGGGCTTCTCACCTGTATGAGTCTTTACATGTTCAGCTAGACTAGAAGAAATAGTGAATTCTTTTCCACAGTACTTAAATTTATAGGGTGTTATCCCAGTATGAATTCGAATGTGCTTTATAGGCAAGAGGAATTTCCAAAGAGTTTTCCATATTCTTTACATTCAAAGGAATTTTCCCCAGTGTGAGTTTTCACATGTTCAGTCAGCAGGTAACACCTTTTGTATGCTTTCCCACATTCCTTACATTCATAGGGTTTCTCTCCTGTGTGAGTCCTCTTATGGACAATCAGACATGAGGATGTAGTGAAGGCTTTCCCACATTCCTTACATTCATATGGCCTCTCTCCAGTGTGTGTTCTTATATTTTCAGTTAAACTTGAAGAAACAGTGAAGTCTTTCCCACAGATTTATAAGGTTTGATTCCAGTGTGAAGATGAATGTGTTTATTACAGCATGCAGAACTTCTAAAAGATTTTCCACATACCTTGCAATCAAAGGGTTTGTCCACCATATGAGTTCTTAAGTGTCCATTCAATAGATAAAATCTTTTGCAAGATTTTCCACATTCCCTACCTTTGTAAGGTTTCTCTGCACTGTGAGTTCTTACATGTTTCTGTAGATAAGAGGCAGTGAGGAAGGCCTTCCCACACTTAGCACATTTATAGGGCTTCTCTCCAGTATGTGTTCTTAGATGCTTATGAAGGTAGGAAGATGCATGGAAGGTTTTCCCCCATTCCTTGTATTGATAGGGTTTCTCTCCAGTATGAATTCTTAAATGTTCAGTCATGTTTGACGAAATAGTGAAGGATCTCCCACACAATTTACATATATAGGGCTTCTGTCCAGCATGTGTTTGTATATGTGTAGAAAGTCCTGAGTGCTTAGTAAAAGCTTTTCCACATTCATTGCACTTACATGGTTTCTCTCCAGTATGAATTCTGAAGTGTTCAGTTAGACTTGAAGAAGTTATGAAGGGTTTCTTACATATTTTACATTCATAAAGTTTTTCCCCAGTGTGAGTTCGCATGTGACTATTAAGATTTGAAGAATACCCAAAGACTTTCCCACAAACCTTACATTCATAGGACTTCTCCCCAGTATGGGTTCGCATGTGATTATAAAGATTTGAAGAATAGCCAAAGACTTTCCCACAAATCTTACATTCATAGGCTTTTATGTTATATTTTTGAATAGGCAGAGCTCCACTTGTGGAACATGTAAAATCTCCTGCAAATTGAGTCAATTCACAGAATTTTTCCCCATTATACATTCTCATATGTATTTTAAAATATGACTGATTAAGGAAGTCAGTGCATTCAACAGGCTTATCCTGCAAGTCTGTTCTCTGGGGAGTAACATTTGGGGTCACACTAAAGTCTCCTGCATACTGACTCAACACAGAAGGACCCTGTCTCATAGATGTGTTCTTATGCAGAGTGAGAAAGTGTTTTCCATACTGATTAGAGTCACAGGCATTTGAATTTTCAGTTTTCATATGCCTTTTAAAATATGAATGTTCTCTGAAGATATCTTTATGTTTCATACAATCACATAGTTCCCAAGCACTGTGTCTTCCTTCCTGTTGATGAAACAATGAATATAACTAATGGATTGTTCAAAATTAAGGGTTTCAACCCTTATGAAGACAGAAATATTATTAGATGCTTAACATTCTTATCACATACATACAATTTCTGCTGGTTTTTTCCCCAGTTGAATGTAGGGACCCTAATGTAAGAATTATCTATAATCTGTTCTAACTTTGAAATGTTTCATGCATGTCAAAGCAGAGTTACATATGTGGGGATGCATATTTGTGGAAATTCAGAAGGCCAAACTTTTAAGCATGGATTGGGGTACCCTAATTGCCATGAAGATAGGAGGATCAGGAGTTGCTGTCCTTAGCAATATAGCAACTCTGAAGATAGGGACTACATGAGACCCTATCTTTTTAAAGATGCATTATTTAGAGGATTATGATTTTTATCATTTTCATGACATTCTTAAAGATGCTATATGATTTCTAATCAAGCTGAAGGAACAATAGTGCTAAAATCAGCTTAAATGTTTAAAAAAAATGTTAAGCACGCTATAAAATTGTTTTAAAGAGCCAGAAAGATGGCTTAGCAGGTAAAGTGCTTGCCATGCAAGACTGACAATGGACGATTGATGGCCCCAAACTAGATACAGTAGCATGAATCTGTAATTTCAGCAGTACTGCTTTGAAATGGAAGGCAGAAACAGGAGAACTGGCCAGAAGCTCATGCAGTAGCAAACATAAGAGAGACACCATCTCAACATGGTTGAAGGACAGAACCAACTCCTGAAAGCTCTCTTGACTTCCACAAGAGGGGCATGACATAAACTTCCTGGGGCACATGTAGGCCAGTATGAACATGAGTATACACACACACACCACACACCACATAAATAAAACACAGATAAATAAATTGCTTTAAAAATTTAATGTCTAGACCTACACCTTGCCTGGGCAGCACAGCAGAGGTGACCCTGTTGGCAGAGGCATAGGGTGAGCCAGCCCTGGGGCGTGAGAGTGGGAGAGCCTTCTTGTCTAGTATGTGATGGCCTGGGCGAGGGAAAGATTCCCTCCACATTCCATCACCACCTGCGGCAGGCGGGAGAGCTGGCCCCGCCCCTCACCAGCTGCAGCACTCAGAAGAGTGGGCCCTGCACCCCTCCTGGGCAGCACAGTAGAGTTGGCCCTCGTGGTGTGGATGCAAATGAGCAGGCCTCTAAGGTCATGAGAGCAGGAGAACCAGCCCCGCCTCTTGCTGACTGCTGCACTGGGTGCGCTAGCCCTGGTGGTAAGGATGAGGGGGAGCTGGTGGGCTCACCCACTCATCTCAGAACCACCCACGCCCAGAACCAGGGCTGCGAGTTGGCCCACCCCAATGTCCATCCCATCTGTGAACTGCTGGAGAGGCCAGTCCTACAGATCCAAAGCTGTACAATCTCCATAACACAGGGCAACAACAGAATATCCAAGAGGAGTCCCAGTGAGGGACTATGTTTAAACACCAGCATCTGTAGTGTAGCAGAAGCCAGAGGCCTTGAGCCAGATCAATGACTCATTGCAATGTATACTTGGCAAGTAAAGATGTGTGGACCAAAGGCTGTACTGCGTGACTCACTGGGCCACAGCACAGCTTCCATGACGAGATTTGTTTCTCTTTTAAAGTTTATTTTTAGGGGGGAGGGGGAGGTTGCAAGGGCAAAGGTTGGATATGAAGGGATGGGGTGGTGAGTGGGATTAGGATACAGGATGTGAATCCACAAAGAATCAACAAAAGTTTTTAAAAATTCAATGTCTAGTTACACATGTAGAAATGTGTTCTTGTGAGAACCTTGAAAGATTTGGTTTCATGATGAGTTTGACTGTTGTAGAATATTATTTTAAGGTGTGTTACGTTTGTTTATGCTGTGGAGCATTTGTTTAACAATGTAAAGATGGTTGCTTTTGTTTATGCTGCATTTAACTCTGTGAAGCTGTGATTGTTTGGCTGTCTAAAACCGGGGTGGTCTAATAAAGAGCTGAACAGCCAATAGAGAGGCGGGAGACAGGATAGGTGGGGCTGGCAGGCAGAGAGGATAAATAAGAGGAGAGATCTGGGAAGTTGGAGAAAGGAGCAAGAGAACAAGTAGAGGAGGGTATAGAAAGCAATGGGGTGAGAGTGAAAGTAAGATATACAGAAGTAAGAAAAGGAAAAAGTCCTGAGGTAAAAGATAGATGGGGTAATTTAAGATACGAAAAGCTGACAAGAGGGGCTGGAGAGATGGCTCAGAGGCTGCTCTTCCACAGGTTGCTCAATTCCCAGCAACCACATGGTGACTCACAACCATCTGTAGTGGGATCTGATGCCCTCTTCTGGCATAAAGGCATACATGAAGATAGAGCACTCATACATAAAATAAATAAAATCTTTAAAAGAAAGAAAGAAAGAAAGAAAAGCTGACAAGAAAAAAAAGCCAAGCTAAGGCTGGGTGATTATAATTAAGAATAAATAAGCCTCTGTATATTTACTTGGGAGCTGGGTGGAGGGCCCCCAAAAGACCAAGAACAAAGAACAAAAGAGCCACAAAAGTAATAACAACTACATGTGACACTGTGATGTTGAGCATTTCTGACCCCCTACCCACACAATCCTGAGTGACTGCCACTTATTTTCCATCAGTGGAAGTTTTAGTCTTTTCAGAGTGTGGGAACTAACAAACATCTTTGATTAATCTTACCATTTGCACCACATTGGAAGTTTGTTCCCTCAAAGTGTCTTGCATTTCCCATTCTAAAAATGACATAAAAACAAAACAATCAAGAAATGAGAGGTTTGTTACAGGAGTAGAAAGTGACAGATCTTGCCCAGTGTGGTAGATAGTATCAGGAGGCTTAGGCAGAATGGCTGAGTTTAAGACTAGCCATGGCTACAATGTGAGATCCCTTAGTGGGATAAATAAATAAAAATACAAACAGAAACTAAATTTTGGTCATTTTAATTAAGTTAAAACTTGGCAAGGGTGCCGGGCGGTGGTGGCGCACACCTTTAATCCCAGCACTTGGGAGGCAGAGGCAGGCGGATCTCTGTGAGTTCGAGGCTGGGCTGGACCGACAGCCTCCAAAACAATACAGAGAAACCCTGTCTCATAAAAAACAAAAAAACTTGACAAGGGTAAAAATGTGAGTCATAGTTTTATACAGTTTATTATAATTTTTTCTCCTTTGTTTTTTCTCCCCAAGACATGGATGGTCTCTTAGGCTGGCCTCAAGCCCAAGATATTCATCTGCCTTTGCTCTGAGTGCTGGGATTAAAGGTATATAACACCACTGCCCAACTACAAATTACTTCTTAAAATGAAAACTGATGGTGAAAAAGAACATTATCAAGGATGATGGTAAGAAAAGATCTCAACATAGCATAGGACAAAATTATAAAAAAGAAACATAACAGGCATTTTGTGGTATCACAGAAAAAGTCTGAGCAAAGTGTAAGAAATCCAGAATTATTTCTGAGATAAAGGGTTGACACCTTCTGAGATCAACTGTATCTTTGAAAGTTTCATAAGACTGGAGATATAGCTCAGTAGTAAGAGTGTTCGCCTAAGCAAGCTCAAGGTTTAATCCCCGATACTAAGAAAAAAGTTTCATTATGGCTGGGTATGGTGGTATACACCAACAATTCCAGTACCCAGAAGGTAAAGGCAGAAATATTGCAGGGGCCAGCCTAGGCTACACAGGGAGACCCTGAATCAAAGGGGAGAAAACAAACAACAACAAAACCTTATTCTATTTCCAAATTAAAGGAACTTCTTGGTCACAATTATTACCCATGAATACTCACCCTGGAAGTCTTCTCTTTGCCCTATCTGTAAATCTTCCTCCAACCAGGAGATCAGACTGGGTTTGGTGATCTCACATCCTATACAGAGGGGGAAAGTGTATTCTTGGAAGTGGTTCACACTCAACAGAAAATGATAAATTTTAGGGCCCCCACTCCCTCCCTTTGTGTGTGTATGTGAGTGAACACGAGCTCAGAGTTAATGACAGGTGTTTTCCTTGGTTACTGTCCAGCTTTTATACTGAGGCAGGGTCTTGTGCTGCACTCAGGCCTCATCAGCTCCAGCCAGTCTAGCTCGTCAGCTTTCCAGGAGGATCTCCTGTCTCCTGGGGATCACAGGCAGCCACTGTGCCTGCCCACTTTTCACATGGGTTTTGGGGTGCAAGCTGTGGCCCTCATGATGGTATAGCAAAGTGCTTTATCCTTGAGCCACCTCCCCAGCCCTGAGGCTTGTTTTCTAAGACAAGGTCTCTCACTAGGACTTGAGGGTCACTGCTCATGACTAGGCAGGCTACCCTGTGAGCTCCTGAGATGTTCCTCCATCCAAGCATGCGGATTACAAATGTACACCAGCACATCTAGTTTTGTGAGACAGGGTCTCACTATGTATCCCTGGCTGACCTAGAACTCACAGAGATCCTACCTCTGCATCCCATGTTCTGGGATTAAAGGCATGAATCACTGCACCTTCCTAGCTCCACAATTCTTTGAAACACACACACACACAGAGTACCTGGAACTCACTAATTCAGCTAGACTGTCCAAGGCGGTACCCAGCAACCCTGAAATCCCACCCCCACCCCGTAGGAACTACAGGTGCGTCACTACACCTGGCTCTTTAAATGGTACTGAGGATCTGAACTCAGGCCCTCATGCTTGCCTGTGAAGCATTTTACCAGCTGAGGCATCACCTCCCCACACACACGTTTTTCCTCTTTCTAATTTCTTTACTAGATTTATTCATTTATATGTGTGAGTGTTTTGCCTGTGTGTGTGTGTGGTGCCAGAGGAGCTCAGGAGAAGACACAGAATGAGTTACAGACAGTTGTGAACCACCATGTGGGTGCTAGGACTTGAACAAGTGCCCTTAACCTCTGACCAGCTCTCCAGCCAATAGTATTATTATTACATTATTATAATAATGTAATTTATTATTGTTATTATTTTATGCATATGGTATTTTGTTTGCATATTATGTCTGTTCACCATATATCTGCAGTGCCCAGAAAAGGGTACTGGATCCTCTGGAACTGGAGTTATATGAAGTTGGTTTTTTTTTTTTTTTTTTTTGGTTTTTCGAGACAGGGTTTCTCTGTATTGTTTTGGAGGCTGTCCTGGAACTAGCTCTGTAGACCAGGCTGTCCTTGAACTCACAGAGATCCGCCTGCCTCTGCCTCCCGAGTGCTGGGATTAAAGGCATGAGCCACCAGTGCTTCTAACTTCCAGTCATCTCTTCAGCCCCCCTCCCTGTTCTTTGTTTTTAAGATTTATTTTATTATTTATTTGTGTGCATGTGTCTGTTTATGTGTGCGTACCTACTGAAAGTGCCCTTAGAGGCCAGAAGAGGCATCAGATCCAAAGAAGCTAGAGCTACAGGTAGTTGTGGGCTGTCTGTCCAGTGTGGGTGCTGGGGACTGCAAGAGCAAGTGCTCTTAGCACTAAATCCTTACTCCAGCTGCTGTGATAGACGCTCACACTGTAGCCCAGGCCAACCAGCTCTCCTATCTGAGCTTTCCAAGTGCTAGGAGGAAAGGTATATGCTACTGCTCCCAGCACAGAAGAGCTGTGTTTCTAAAGAGTGTATGGGGAATGTTTCCAAAGGACTAAGCATGTAGATCAACATTTCAGAACCCTAAAGCCCAAGTTAAAGCTCATACACATAGCTGGGTTGTGGTGGAGCACGCCTTTAATCCCAGCACTGGGGAGGCAAAGGCAGTCGGATCTCTGTGAGTTTGAAGCCAGCCTGGTTCCAGAGAGTTCCAGGACAGCCTCCAAAGCTACACAGAGAAACCCTGTCTCCAAAAACCAAAACAAACAAAACAGAAAAAAAAAAAGCTCATACACATATTAACAAAACACTGTCAGTCAAAAAGAAAAAGACTGAAACAAAAATATTTGTTCTAGGGAAAAAATTTTTACCAGTATCTCAGATTATGGTTTATCATAGATTCATCATGGTAGCTTGTTAAAATTTAGATGCTAGGAGCTGGGTGTAGTGGTGCAATCTTTAATACCAGCACTTGGGAGGCAGAGGCAAGAGGATCTCTGTGAGTTTGAGGTCAGCCTGGTCTACACAGAGAGTTTCAGGACACCCTGTTTCAAAGAAAAATTTATATGCTAGGGGTTAGGGGTGTGGTGCAGTGGCAAAGCATTTGTCTAGCTTGTACAAGGCCTAGGTGTAGTCTACAGATCTGTAAAAACGACACCCGCTACAAAGAATATGTGACAAGGGTATACTCAGATTTTCTTACTTGGTAATCAAAGGACATGGATGATTTACATTTCTAACGGGGATGGTATTGATATTGGACCACATTTTGATAACCATGATATTATATTAAAATGTACAGGGAGGCTGGTGAGATGGCTCAGGGAGTAAAAGCTTTTGCTGTGCAAGCCTGATGACCTGAGTTCACTCCCTGGGATCCACAGTTGCAGAAGAGAATGGACTCCTGACAGTTTCCTTAGACCTCCATCCAGTCACTCCAGCACATGTGTGCCCATGCTCCGACACACACACATCGTGCACACATATAATTGTAAAGAGAAAACACCTTTTAAAGGATGAGGAGAAGGCTCGATGGATAAAGCATCTGCTACACTAGCATGAAGACCTGAGTTCATGCCCCCAGAAACCATGTAAAAGTCAAACACAGTAACACAGCATCTGTAATCCTAGTACACATGAAGAGATGGAGGCAGAAACAGGAGAACCCCAGAAACTTATAGGCCAGTTAGCCTGGTGTCTATATAGCAGAAATACAACAAAGAAACCTTGTCTAAGATGGAAGGTGAGAACCAACACCAGAGTTTGCCCTCTTACCTCCCTCCACACATTCCCTGTGGCACACACGTGCCCGCATTCACACATTATAGAAGTCACCTCATAAACCCAATACTAGTTTCTATATGTCAGGAAATTCACCATTAACTGGAAACCAAAAGTATTATACAGAAAAAATCTCTAAGTTTTAAACTGTGCAGTTCTATTAGGAGCCGAAGAAATCTCACAGCTTCCTACTTTACCGAACCTGGGGTGAAGTCACCTTTGCCCACCAGATCCACACTTTGTGTACCTCACTTGTCAGATCACCTGTCACTCAACAGCAACACTTTCTACTTAACAGTTTCCCCATAAACAGTATAGTACTGATGCTGCCAATCTGGCTTTGTCCAACAGAAGACGTAAACTACTTCATTTAAAAAAGGTTCAAGGCAGGTATGGCACATACACTGTAATCACAGTGTTTGGAAGGAGGCAGGAAGATGGTAACTTCAAGGCCATTTTGGGTTCCATACAAAGCTTAAGGCCAGTTACAGAGACAGGCTATATTCTCACAAAAGGAAACGAAACAAAAGTTCTTAATTTAATAAAGAAAATAATCTTATGCTGAAGTCGTATCTTTTTTTTTTTTTAAGACAGGGTTTCTCTGTGTAGCCCTAGATGTTCTAGAACTTACTTTGTAGACCAGGCTGGCCTCAGACTCACTGAGATCCACTTACTTCTGCCTCCCAAGGTCTGGGATTAAAGGTGTGTGTGCCACCATGCCCAGCTAGCTAGTGTCTTTTTTTTTTTTTTTGAGGCAGGGTTTCTCTCCGAGGCTTTTGGAGGCTGTCCTGGAACTAGCTCTTGTAGACCAGGCTGGCCTCGAACTCACAGAGATCTGCCTGCCTCTGCCTCCCAAGTGCTGGGATTAAAGGCATGCGCCACCAACGCCCGGTGCTAGCTAGTGTCTTAATATCTACAGTAAGAATGATTCTTGAACCAGGTGTGGTAGTACACGCCTTTACTCCCAGAAATTGGGAGGGAGGCAGGCTGCTGGTTCTTTGAGAGTTCAAGGCCAGCATGATTTTTGTAGCAAGTTCTAGGTTAGCCATGGCTTCTAAAGAAAAAAGGGATGGCGTGGATTGCTGGAGAGATGGCTTAGCACTTAGGACCATTTGCTGTTCTTGAAGCAGCTCACAGCTGTTCCAAGGGATCCAAATGCCCTCCCTGGGTAATGTTTGCATGTGATGCATTTTCATACATTTAAAATAAAATTAAATCTTTTTTTTTTTTGGTGTTTTAGAGACAGGGGTTCTCTGTATTGTTTTGGAGGCTCTCCTGGAACTCACTTTGTAGACCAGGATGGCCTCAAACTCACAGAGATCCGCCTGCCTCTGCCTCCCAAGTGCTGGGATTAAAGGCGTGTGCCACCAACGCCCGGCTAATAAAATTAAATCTTAACAACAAACTGTCTTTGTTCCTCACCCCTGATTTCTTTTCTATTTATTTATTTACTTAGAAATAGGATTTTGTCACATAGCCTACAATGGTCTTGAACCCATATATTCTAGGTTGGCCTCAAATTCTAGGTGATACTCCTGTTCCACTCTCTGAAGATTACAAAAAGATCCCACAGGGGGTGGGAGAGGTGGCTCAGAGGTTAAAAGCGCTGGTTGCTCTTCCAGAGGTCCTGAGTTCAATTCCCAGCAACCACACAGTGTCTCACAACCATCTGTAATGAGATCTGGTGTCCTTTTTTGCCTTCAGGCATATAAGCAGGCAGAACACTATATATAAATAAATAAATCTTAAAAAAAAAAAAGGATCCCATATCTGACTTTGTTTGTTTTTGGGGGGTGATGGGGAACACAAGAATTCATACAGCAGGCCGGGTGTTGGTGGTGCACGCCTTTAATCCCAGCACTTGGGAGGCAGAGGCAGGCGGATCTCTGTGAGTTCGAGGCCAGCCTGGTCTACAGAGTGAGTTCCAGGACAGCCTCCAAAACAATACAGGGAAACCTTGTCTGGGGGGGAGAAAAAAAAAAAGAATTCATACAGCAGCCAGGCAGTGGTGGTGCACACCTTTAATCCCAGCACTTAAGAAGGCAGAGACAGGCGGATCTCTGTGAGTTCAAGTCTACAAAGCAAATTTCAGAACAGCCAGAGATGTTACACAGAAAAACTTTCGAAAAATACTACACAACCCAAATATGTTTCTTCATTTCCTAGTATATTCAGATCAAGACTGCTGATCTCTCTGTATGCCCGGAACACCATCCTCCCTAAGACACCAGGAGGGGCGATGGCAGTCTTACCTGCTGAGAACAGGTTCTGGTAGTTCTCCAGCATCACCTCTCTGTAGAGGTCTCTCTGAGTTTGATCCATTAGAACCCACTCTTCTTGGGTGAAGTCCACAGCCACATCATCAAAGGTCAATGAGTTCTAAATGACACATGCCAGTCTGAGTAACAAGTCACCCACATTCATTATAGATGAAGACATGAAACCCAACTCTTCCCAGAGATTGGTGGTCTAGGAGCTCTCCCTGCCCACAGTCACTGTCCATTTCCCACAGACATATGTTTTTAGTGACCCTTCTCACAACTAAACAAACAGTCCTCTCTATTTCCCTAAAATGTACTCCTGAGCACACCACTTGGTAAACAGCTTTTGATGAAGTCTTGGGTTGGGAAATATACCTTAGTGGTAGTGTGCTTATTTAGCATATTCAAGGCCCTAGGTTCAATTCCAAGCACAGGAGGAAAAAGAAAGAAGAGAAAAGGAAAAATTATTTTTTATGTGTAATGTATATAGGTATTCAAATGTATGGGTACATGTGTACTAGAGGCCAAACTCAATATTGGGTATCTTCCTCAATGGCTCTCAAACTAACATAATGAGGCAGGGTCTTTGACTTGAAACCAATGCTCACTTACTCTGTTAGCCCAACTAGCAGGCTCACTTACAAGATCCTGGCTCTGCCTCCAGAGGACTGAAATTACAAATACTGAAATTTAAATGCTACCACACCTATCCAGAATTTACATAGGTTTAAGTGTAACAAGCATTCTTCCCGTCAGCCTGGTCCCAGAGCCTCATCAACCCCAAATAACACACAGAGACTCTATTAGTTACAATGCTGTCGGCCAATGTCCAGGGCTTCTCATTGTCTAGTTCTGTCTTAAGTATTATCCATAACTACTAATATATATTTCTATAAGGTCTTAACGAGGATGCCAGGCGACTCTACTTTTTTTTTTTTTTTTTTTTTTGGTTTTTACAAGACAGGGTTTCTCTGTATTGTTTTGGAGGCTGTTGGTCCAGCCAGGCCTCGAACTCACAGAGATCCACCTGCCTCTGCCTCCCGAGTGCTGGGATTAAAGGTGTGCACCACCACCGCCCGGCACGACTCTACTCTTGACTACATTTCCCAGAATCCTCCTCGATTCCTAGTCCCACTTATCTTGCTTCCCTATTGGCCAACAGTGCTTTATTTATCAACCAATAAGACAAACATACACAGAAGGACTTCCCCCATCAGTTAAGGATTTGAACCCTGGTCTTCACACTTGCACAGCAAGAGCTTTACCCACTGAGTCATCTCTCTGGTTTCAGGGATTTTTTTAAAAGAGAACTTGTTTCAGCAAATGGATCTCTGTGACTAGTCTACAGAGCTAGTCCTAGGATAGTCAAGGCTACACAAAAGAAGCCTTGTCTCAAAAAACCAACAAAACAAAAAGCTGAACCAGAGATGGGAGGAGGACTTATTTCTTGGGGCTGGAGAGAAGGCTCAGTGGTTAAGAGTACTTGTTGCTCTTGCAGAGGACCTGGATTCTGTTCCCATCCCAGCATCAAGATGGTGTCTCATAACCATCTATAACTCCAGTTCCAGAGGTTCTGTAGTTACCAGACATGTACATGATATACAAATATACATGCAGGCAAAATACACACATAATTTAAAACAAGAAAACGAAAAAGAACCTGTTTCATTGAGTGGGGCAGGGTACACCCAGCACAGCACACATACGGAGGTGAGAGGACAATTTACAGGATTTAGTTCTATCGCATGGGTTCATGGGAGCATAAACCTTCAGGCTTGACAGCAGCATTTGCTGAGCCATCTCACCAGCCCCAGCATTTCCTAAAAACAGAATCCATGTATTCACAAAGTGGTCTCTAACTGGTTGTGTAGCTGAAGATGCCCTTGAACCCCTGATTCTCCTGTTTCTACCTAAGAGTATGATTTTCAATTTATTTTTTCTTAATTTTACTTTTATTTACGTGTATGTGTGTTTGTGTGTGCATGTGTATGCAGGTGTTCATGGAGGCTGGAAACATGCATCAGATCTCTTGGAGCTGGAGTTACAGGCAGCTGTGAGCAAGTGTTTCACCAACTGAGCCACATACCACTCCCTATACACACAAAAAAGATGTGCTCTTCCACCTTAAAGTTTTTCCAGAATACTTGGCAAAACAACAAACATATCTGTGTCACCATGAGCATCAATATTAATCAGTAGTTACTGAGATCCTGAGTAGAATTTCAGATAACATCTCATCAATAATTGTGGTGCTACCCACTTGGGGAAATTCAAGTGGGCTTTCAGTCTTGATTTTTGGCTCTGTGAAGGTAGAGTCATAGCTACCAGATGGAAACATTTCTATCTGGCACAGGCACACTTGGCATTTTGTGACACAGTCTCTGCATACCTGAAAAAAATCTCTCAGGCAGTGGATCACCATGACCTCTGCCTTTTTCTTTTCTTCAAGGCAGACTGTATCAACAGAAAGACCACCTGGAAGAAAGAGAAGGTGTAAGAAGATTCCCATCTTTCTTGTTCATATTCTTTAGTTCATCTATCCTAGCGTCAAATACACGGAATCCTATATACTTGAGAAAAAGTAGATATGTGTACTATTTTAAAAAATACTTTCAGGGCTGGAGAGATGAATCACTGGTTAAGAGTACTTGTTGTTTTTTGCAGAGAACCCAGGCTCAAATCCCAGAACCCACATGGTGTTTCACAACCATCCGTAACCCAGTTCCAGGATGGACATGATAGAAATATACATGTAAGCATAACACTCACACACATAAAATAAATGAATCTAAAAACAATTAAACATTTTTTTGATTTTTTAAAATTTAAATTAGAAACAAGCTTGTTTCACATGTCAATCCCAGCTCCCACTCCCTCCCATCCTCCCCCAACCCCCACCAACCTCCCAACCTCCCACTCAGTCCCCACTCCACTCTCTAGGGAGGATGAGGCCCTTCATGGAGGATCCCCAAAGTCTGTCATATCATCCGGGGCAGGGCCTAGGCCCTCCCCCATGTGTCCAAGCTGAGAGAGCATCTCTCCATGTTGAATGGACTCTCAAAGTCTATTTGGATGCCAGGGATAAATACTGATCTATTGCCCGAGGCCCCAGAGAATGCATATATTTACTTATTATATGTGTGTAAGTGTAGAAATGTTATAACACATACATGGAAAAAGATAACTTGGAGGAATCAGGTTCTCTCTTTCCACCATGTGGGTTCCAAGTATTGAACTCAGGTCATCAGGTTTGGCAGCAAGTGCCTTTACCCACTGAGCCATCTTGCTGGTCCTATTTGTTTTCTTGAGACAGTGTCTTACATAGCCTAGATTGGCCTAGAACTCCTGATCCTCTTGCCTCAACTCCCAAGTGCTGAGATTATAAGTAGGCCCTACCATGCCTGACTGGATATACACATTATTGATAGATATCAGAGCAGCTCTATTTCATCTGGAGTCAGGAAAAGAATTTGTCAGCCACACTGCCCACCAGGAAAACCACAATGGCCTCACTTTACAAGTAAAGAAGTATCAGCCTAGAGAAATAGTCTTCACTTGCCATGGTGATTAGGCAGCACACTTCTGTCCATCCAGAGAATGATCTATGAAGGCTCTATTTTTCTTTGGAATGAGTTTATTAAGTATATAACAAACAAAAGCAAACATATAATTAATATATAGCAGATAGAGGGAAACATCAGGTATATAGCAAAACATCAGCAAATGCCATGCTCAAAACTTGCAAAAGGCATCTCCTGGGGAAGCCACCTTGAAGCAGCCAGCTGGATCAAAGTGTCCCCTCTGGGTAATTTTGAACAAATACCACAAATTCAAAGAAGTCTGCTTCCAGTGGCACCCCACCTCTCAGCAAAGGGGTGAATGAGTTGAGAACTGCTTAGCTGATGAATAGAGCCAGCTCAGATCTAGAGTAACCCACTAACCATCTAGTGGGCTATGACTACCTTAGGACTGCTATCTGACTCCACTGATCATCTAGTGGGCTATGACTACCTTACGACTGCTATCTGACTCCACTGATCATCTAGTGGGCTATGACTACCTTAGGACTGCTATCTGACTCCACTGATCATCTAGTGGGCTATGACTACCTTACGACTGCTATCTGACTCCACTGATCATCTAGTGGGCTATGACTACCTTAGGACTGCTATCTGACCTTTCAATTTCTCCATCCTAATCCCTTTCTCTTACCCTGTTCTCATGATCTCCTTCTCTTGAAGGCTAAAAAAATCTGACTTGTTTCTAGGATATGATAAATACACAGAGACTTTGCAAATGTAATGAAAACCTAAACTGGAGACCTAAAAACAACTGAATGTGTGTGTAGAAAAAATGGGCACGTGCTTCCCCTGGTACTTATAGCCAGAGGTCAAAGGACAACTTTCAGGGAGTCAGTTCTCTCCTTATACCACAGGATCCAGGAACTGAACTCAGGCTGTCATGTCTGTGCAGCAAGTATATTTACGTAACAAGTCATCTCACCAGGCCAGTTACCTTTTTAATGTTTGTGTATATGTGTACATATGTGAGGGTGTGCATACTCATTTGTGTGCAAAGGCCAGAAGACAAAGACAAATTCCCACAGAGCTGGAGTCAGGCTGTTTGCAGAACACCCTGCATACTTGTGTGCTGGATCTGAACTCTGACCTTCATGGTTACACATCACAACACCGAGCTGTCTCTCTAGCATCCTACAGTGAATTATCAATAGGAAAAATATCTTAATGGGTTTGACCCAGGCAGAGGTGTCTTTATGTGTGTGGTCAATGTTGGGTGTCTTCCTCAGAAGCATCTCCACTTTAAAAAAATGTTTTTTTCTTTTTGAGACGGGGTCTTGCTGTATTACACTAGTTGGCCTGAACTCTCTGTTGACCAGGCTGGCCTCAAACTCAGAAAGACCCACCTGTCTCTGCCTCCCAAGTGCTGGGATTAAAGGACACCATGCCCAATGTCCACCCCTTCCAACTTCCCCCCTCAGACAGGGTTTCTCTGTGTAGCCCTGGCTGTCCTGGAACTTGTTCTGTAGACCAGGCTGTCCTTGAACTCAGAGGTCCGCCTGCCTCTACATCCAGAGTACTGGGATTAAAGGTGTGCGCCACTACCATCCAGCTGTTGGCTTATTTTTTTGAAACATATAACCTGGGGCTGACTGGCTAGACTAGCTGGCAAGCAAGTATCAGAGATCCCCCCTTTTCCACCTCTCTAGTGCTGAGATTGCATGCATGTGCTACAATGTCCAGGATTTGTATGCGGATGCAGAATCGGAATTCAGGTCTGCACACCAACCACTGTTCTCTGACCTCCACATCTACTCAATTGCACACAAATAAATAAATGTAAAAATAAATAATGTAAAAAAAACTTTTTAAAGTACAAACATAAATGTATCATTATTTTCATGTTGGTGTCTCCATTGATCTCCTGGGGACAGAGCTCAGTTGCAGAGTGCACATAGAGCTCTTCCCTAGAATGTGGCACCCTAGGTTCAATCCTCAGTAACACGCACACACACAGAGCCCAATTGCTCCACTATGTCAGCTAGCTCATTAGGAAGCCTTTTAGGCAAACAGAGAAGGCAATGGGAATGTCATTCAGACTCCTGGTCTCTTCAAAGACTCCCCTATAGGGAGGAAGCTTGGGCAGTTACCTATGGAGTGACCCCACCTTCAGATGTGTGGATATGTAGGAGTCCCACAGGAATGGTTACACTAGGTGTTTTTTCAGGGAGTGAGAACCACAATTTGGGTAGTGATAGGAACAAAAAAATCCACCTAAATAGATTGTATCTGTTTACAAATATAAAACACTGGCTTAGCCTGAGAATTACCGTAAGTAATTTGTGTGGTCAGCTTTCCAGTCTCAATCAGTGATTCTGATTCCTGGAACCAACCCCATTTGGCAAATTGTCACTCTCATGTTCTCTCCTATCTGTCCATTATTTACATCATTGGAACACTTAGTCTTCCTGTCAATTATATGTTCCTCAGCTTCTTCCATAACCCAAGGAATAAATAATATTAAACTTGGAAGAGATGCTCTAAGAACTCCACTCTCGTATGGAGCTGTAATCAGCCTGCTAACTGAACATTTAGCATACACATCTCCACTCCCTTCCCTTTAACTATAGCTGCCGCTCAACACCCATGGGGAGGGGGGTGGGGGGAGGGGGAAAGGGAGGGAGGGGGAGAGAGGAAAAGAGAGACAGAGAGAGAGAAGAGAGAGGAGAGAGAGAGAGAGAGAGAGAGAGAGAGAGAGAGAGAGAGAGAGAGAGAGAGAGAGAGAGAGAGAGAGAGAGAGAGAGAGAGAGAGAGAAACCACATGTATGCAGATACTTTCAGGGGCCAGAAGAGGGCGTCGGATCCTGAGGAGAGAGGAGAGTCGGGAGGTTGTGAGCCTTCAAGTGGGTGTTGGGAGCTGCTTTTGGAAGGGCACCAAGTTCTCTTACACAACAGCCATCTCTCCAGCCCCCCTCATCACTTATTATCTATATTTATTAGTATTTTGCATGTATTGGGTTCAATTAAAATGTAGAAAAATTAATAAAAACGTTCATTTGTGGGGGGAGGGGGATAAAAAACAAAACACCCGTTCATTTGCTTAAGAACAGAAAGGTCCTCTTGAACCACTTAAGCACATATATATGTACATATAACCACTATAAATAAAAATGCATACATGCAATATACACCTATAGTCCCCCTCCCCCCCCCAACTTGGGATGGAATCAGGGTCAGCAGACAGCCACGTCCCCACTTCTGAGCCTGATCTCTCCCAGCGCTCACCCGTGCACGCGGCATCTGCCAGGTCCATGAGGCGGGGGACACGCAGGGACGCCCTTTAACGTGTATCCAACGGCGAGAATATCTCTTCCTTGTGGTCTGAAAATGACGGAAGAAAAGTATAAAGGTTTGGAAGCTGAGACGTGGACAAAACAAAAGCTGTCGTGCGGCAGACTCGACAACACGACAGTTTTACGACACTCCCCGCCTGCAGCCGCGACGCCGGCGGCGGCGAGAGACCCGCGTCCTCCCACGACCCCGTCCGCATCGGGCCTCGCTGCCAAGCGGGAGTCCCCACAGCCCGTGTCGACCTCGGGGTCCGGAACCATAACAACTCCGCGTCGCCCGCGGAGACTGGCAGAAGGAAAGGCCGGCCACCAAGACCCTCCTTCCTGTGTTGCTTCCAGCCGGGGGTGGCGGAGCTCTAGGCTGTTGGTGTCCCCAGCCTCAGCTAGGGGAGGGGAGGTGGGAGGCGGCCTCAAGGAATAGCCTTTAGATATGCCTGTGGGCCGGTGACAGGACCCGGACGGAGAGGTCGTGGGGGTTACCGTGCTGAGAAATGCTTATCAAAGGTCTGTGTTTAGTGGTGTTGACGCGTACTGCACAGGTTGTCCCCAACTTGTTCTGTAGCCGAGGATGACCCTGAGCGCCTGAAACTGTTGCTTCCCCCTTGCAAGTGTTGGGATTGTAGGAATGCCGACAACTGCATGCAGTTTAACAGATATAAAACTCTGTCCAAATCCCCAAATCACAGTTCTGTTGATAAATCTGCAGTCCATCGTTTCTTCCATACCCTCAGTCCAATTTCCTCTTCTTTGGAATTACTAATAAACTATAGTTTGAATTTCTTTACATTTTCCTTTGCGTGTGGTGGATGAGCAAGTGCTGTACCACTGAGCAATGTCCTCAGCGTTTTATATTTTCAACTACATATAATTTTAATACTTTGTTGTATGCTTTTGTTTGGGGGGTTATGAGACAGGCTGTCACGATATAGTCTAGGCCAGCCTTCAATTCTAGATCTTCTTGATTACAGGCTTCCCTTGACCAAGTTGCCTGACTAATTTATAGAACTGTAAAATTTTGGAGGTGCTAAGACATGAACTCAGGGCTTTGTACGTCCTAGACAAACGCTCTAATTGAACTATGCCTCCAGCTCTATGTATTTTAGTGCTCCATTGCCTTTATGCCACTGAGAGCATCAGATCCCACTGTAGATGGTTGTGACCCACCATGTCATTGCTGGGAATTGAACTCAGGACCTCTAGAAGGGTAGCCTGTGTTCTTAACCACTGAGCCATCTCTCCAGCCCCTACATCCAGCTCTTAATGATACAATTTTGAGACATTAAATGTTTACACTTGACTGAATGTGGTGACACAGGTCTTTCATGCTAGCACCTGATAGGCAGAGGCAGGTGGGTCTCTGTGGATTCAAGGCCAGGCAGGGCTACACAGTGAGATCCTGTCATTTAAAAGGGACACATATGTAGAGGCCAAAAGGCAACCTGTGGGAATCTGGTCTCCCATGTCAACATGTGGTCTGAGGTTGTCACTGGGTGGCAAGTACCTTGGCCACTGAGCCATCTCACTGGCCCTTTAGACATGTTTTGTATTCATATATCAATGTTTTTATTTTAGGCTCTTATCAAATGAGTCAGAGCATCCTGTAGCTTCTAAAATTGCATGGCATCTGACATTCTTCATTTACTAATTAAAGATTGCATTGTTTCTTATTTAATGTGTTAAGGTTCCTAGCAGTTACCCTTTGTATAGTTTTGTGTTTTACCCTCTCTCTCTCTCTCTCTCTCTCTCTCTCTCTCTCTCTCTCTCTCTCTCTCTCTCTCTCTCTCTCTCTCTCTCTCTCTCTCTCTCTCTCTCTCCCTCCTCTTGCTTTCGCTCTCCATGGCTGGTGTCCAGCTTTGTAAGTTACCTTTAACACTGATTTACTAAAACATTGTATTAAGAAGTCTCATGGCCGGGCGGTGGTGGTGCACGCCTTTAATCCCAGCACTTGGGAGGCAGAGGCAGGCGGATCTCTGTGAGTTCGAGGACAGGCTGGACCGACAGCCTCCAAAACAATACAAAGAAACCCTGTCTCGTAAAAAACAAACAAACAAAAAAGTCTCATGGTTCAGCATTTAAAAGCATTGGTTTCTCTCAAAGAGGATCTAAGGTTGCATTCCCGGCACCCAAATGGTGGCTTACAAGTGTCTGGAAATCCAGTTCCAGGGGATCCAATACCCATTTCAGACCTCCACAGGCACCAAGCATTCATGTGGTACACACATACACATCAAAGAATAAAAATATTAATTAAAAACAATTGCTCATGATACTTGTGCATCAGTATTTATTGCAGCACAGTTCATTTCTCAAGCCAGGCAGTGGTGGTACATGCCCTTTAATCCCAGCCCTCAGGAAGCAGAGGCGGGGGGATATGGATCTCTGAGAGTTTGAGGCCATTCTGGTCTACAAAATAGTTCCAGGACAGTCAAGGCTACACAAAGAAATCCTGTCACCCCCCCCAAAAGAAACAACAAAACAACCAATTTCTCCTCATACCTTCTCTCTGATAAGATCTTTATAAGTTATTTTTTAGTTTCCAAGTATTTTGCCTGTTGTTTTTGACTTCTCATTTAATTTCATCTTCAATTATTATAAATTATCCATAGGTTTTGTTCTCTGTTTAGAGTGTGTGTGCCTGTGTGCATGCTTACATATGCATGCCTGCATGCCACACTTCATACGTGGAGATCAATTAACAACTTGGGAGTCGCTTCTCTCCTTCCATCCCGAGTTCTGAACGGCACCTCTACCCATCACACCTTGAGCCGCCTCACCAGCCCAAGTTCTTATTATGAAAGAGATTTTCTTTGAATGGATGAGGATGGGAGCATCCTCTCATTGTCTCCGCATGTACTCTGAGGCTCTGTTGTAAAGTGTGTGCTGGAGCTGGGTGCGGTGGACCCCTTTAGTCCTAGCACTCAAGAGGCAGAGTCAAGAAGATCTCTGAGTTTGAGGCCAGCCTGGTCTACAGAGCTAGTTCCAGGACAGCCAGGGATATATAGTGAGACCCTGTCTCAAGAAAACAAACAAAAAAGTGTGTGCTCATTTCAGATAGTTCTCAGAGAAAAATGTTATGCATCCTTTTTATCTTTCACCATTTATCTTTTTATTTAGTTTGTTCAATCAGATCCATTCCATGAGAAGTTACTATGAATAAGAACATACATAGATACAGTGTATCATCCAGGCAGGCGTATGTGTTCAGGTGTGAAGCCCAGGGGAGTGCTCAGTTCACAAACCAGGTACTTCAGAGGTTCGTTCCTCAGTGGGTTTGGGGCAGTACTGGAGGCCAAGGCCAAGGCCCTGTATGCCAGAGGCTTCTACCACTGCTGCTACTGAGCTACCCTGAGTTTTTATGTCTTTGGGTCTTGCTGTGTAGATGACATTTGCCTCTAACTCTTGTCCTCCTGAGTGCTAGGATTACGGAGCTGATTCACCTACACACACCTCCTGCTGGTCTTTTCCTTCCTGCCTTCCTTCCTTCTGTCCATCTGTTTGTCCATTCATCCATCCATTTTTTTTAGAGACAAGGTAGCCCTGAATGGCTTGGAACTCAGAGTTCTGCTTGCCTCTGCCTCCTAAATGCTGAGGTTAAAAGCATGTGCCACCATGTCCATCCTGAGTTTAGAGAAAGATGGCTTTGGTTGTCAAGGGTACTGTAACCACATCAGACAGTAGAATATCTAAGGATCAATGCGTGGCCATGCAAAAGGAGATTTCAGAGTGGGTTGTATTTCTGGGATGCCATGTTGCCCATGCTGGCTTGAACTCCTGGGCTAAAGTAATATTCCTGTCTCTGCAGTACCTTGGACTCTAGGCTTGTGTAGTGTGCCCAGCTTTGAGTGTATTAAAGCAGTTTTAAAAGATTTATTACAATCATGTGTGACTTACTGCAGTCATGTATGGCAGCACGCATTAATTCCAGCCCTCAGGAGACAAAGACAAATGGAGGATCTCTTCGAGTCAAAGACCATCCTGGTCTACATTGTGAGTTCCTGGCCAGGCAGAGCTACATAGTAAGACCCAATATCAAAATAGCAACAGTCGGGAGTTGGTGGCACACTCCTTTAATCCCAGCACCCAGGAGGCAGAGGCAGGCAGATCTCTGTGAGTTCAAGACCAGCCTGGTCTACAAGAGCTAGTTCTAGAACAGCCTCCAAAGCCACAGAGAAACACTGTCTCGGAAAAAAAACAAACAAAAATGAAAACAAAAAAACCAGCAACAACAACAGACCAGCAACATAAATGAACCCCAAAATATTTACTGCATAATGAAGCCCACTTCTTAGACTCTGGGCTAAGTTCTATCGGAAAATATTCCTAATAAAAGGGTTCCAAATAAGGCTACTCTGGCCCACAGGGTTCAACATAGCCAAATCCCAATAGGCTCATTTACATATCTGCCTTTAGAATAATTTCAAAATGTATAAAAATGTATAATTCTACCTCAAATGGACTATATTTTTGTGAAACTATTTGACATATTTAGAAAAAAATTTTAAAATGCATTTTGGGAGATAGAGAGATGCCTCAGTGCTTAAGAGCACCGGCTGTTCTTCCAGAGGACCAGGATTAAGTTCCCAGCACCCACATGGCAGCTCACAACTGTCTGTAACTCCAGGTCCAAGGGATCTAACACCTTCACACCAATGCACATAAAATAAAAGTTAAATAAGTTTTACAAAATGCATTTTGATTTTTCTCTCTTTTTTTTTTTTTTTTTTTTTTTTTGGCTTCTCAAGACAGGGTTTCTCTGTATTGTTTTGGAGGCTGTCCTGGCACTCGCTCTGTAGACCAGGCTGGCCTCGAACTCACAGAGATCTACCAGCCTCTGCCTCCCGAGTGCTGGGATTAAAGGCGTGTGCCATCAACGCCCGAAAAATGCATTTTGAAGTTAGCTGAGGTTAATGCACTCTTTGGAATCACAGGAAGGCTGGGAGTTTTGATGAATGAAACCGGTGATGGCAGGGCCTACCCTCACTTCCACACGTGTGTGGTGCTGTGTCTGAATGTGCATGTGGAGGCCTGAGGCTGATGTGAGGAGACTTTTTCAACTGCTATCTACCCTACTCATTGAGGCAGGGTCTCTCAACTGGTCTTGTTAGATAGATTGCTTTGGAGAGCCTGCCTTCTGGGTGCTAAAATTACATGTGGGCAACCACACCCACACACCACTTACTTGGGTCCTGGGGATTCAAACTCTGATCCTCACATTGGTGAGGAATTGCTTTATCCACTGAGCTATCTGTCTCCTAGCCCTACTATCTACTTAATAAGCTATGGTTTATTCATGCTTAGATTTGAGGGTAGATTTCAATCTATCATTGCCCTGATACATATCAAATGCTACACTGAAGGTTAAA